ATTCTGTTACACTGTGGAAGCTTCTGTCACGAAAACAAATTCCTCGTATGTGTAAACATACCTGGCAATAAAGCTCATTCTGATTCTGATTCTGATACTGCGTTAGGCTAACCGAGACTTGTCATTTGCACTTATATATTGTTGCTCTTTTGTTAGTTTTGACTGCTTTTATTGTCCTCATTTGTAAGTCACTTTGGATAAAAGCGTCTGCTAAATGACTAAATGTAAATGTATTCAACAATGTCTATTTCAATGACAAGCTGCGCAAAGCCACATTCATATGATCGTGGTTTTGTGCAGCTTGTCAGTTAACAACGGCTCTGTGTAGTTAATGCTGCTCCATGTGAAAGCACGCACGTGATGGAGATTTACCGCTGATTACAGAACCGCCTTTACTGACAAGATGCACATTAAATATCGCATGCGATTTATCGTGCAGCCCTACTCAGAAAGCTCTCGAATTTCATCAAAAATATCTTAATTTGTGTTCCGAAGATGAACAAAGGTCTTACGGGTTTGGAACAACATGAGGGTGAGTAATTAATGACCGAATTTTAATTTTTTGGTGAAATATCCCTTTAAATGGGATGAAGAGTCAAAACCTCTCGGTGAAGATTCCTTTAAACACCACCACTACAAATCTTAAACTCACTTGCCAACATCACTAATCACCTAGTTGGTTGTTAAATGGTTAGTCAACTATCCCAGCCCATCCAAAGTCCAATTTGTAAATAAATTGTTCTTTTGTGCTGCGTCTTTTCAAAGAATCAGTCGATATGGTTCACAAGACAGGTCTGAATGATTCATTCATGAATTGGACAGATCTAGTTGTTGATTCAGTGATCACAGCGGTTAACAGCTCACTGAAGAGGAAAATTATCAGTGAATAACAGCTTAGATTTCTCACACAAAACTACTCAAAACTATCACTTTCGAATACCAGGAAAACCACAACCAATTACATTCTTCAAAAATTTCAACCCGTTCTGTCTTTCACAGAAGAAAGTAAGTCATACAGAAAAAACCATGAGAGTGAATAAATCACAATTTTCAGTTCTGGGAGAACTATTCCTTTAAAATAAACAAGGTTACTGGGATGAGCAAGCTGCTTAAAGTGACATATTTGTACAGTTTTTGGTGCCTCTGAAGAACAATCAAAAATGGATCCTCCTTATTCATTATCAGACAGTTATCTGGTACAGGAAACTGAGCTTAAGCAACAACACATTTCATAAGATGCACAACATTTTATGAACTATATATTTAGAAACATGTATCTGGCTACCTGTGATACTCAAAAGTGTTACATGTATCCAGGCAGCACAACATAAGAACACTAACTGAATAGTTCAACTCTACCTAAGCCATTGCCTAGCAGTGAATCCGGGTGGCCAGTGGACTGTGTAAATAGGTCTGTATGTTAATCAGCCTCATTCACTCACATGACAGGTAAATGAGGGAGTGTCTGTTTGAATGACGTGCTTCAGAGAGCATTCAAACAAACGCACTAGGAAGTAGCATTACATTAACAGCCAAATGGTTGAGCACTACAACTCTTCACCGACTTTCAAGATCAAACCTCAAACATACCAAAAGACAAAACAACAGAAGTTTTCAAATAAAATACATGGAGATTTTTTGTTCAGATTAAAGTATTTTTAGATTGACACTTCAGAACAAAGGTTAGAGTTCGGAAAAGCGCACTAAGAAACTAGATCCTCCAGTCTCAACATGTGCTCATTAACTTTGTAAATTAGTAATGCAGCACAGGCGGGACGAGTCAAATGAGTCTAACCTGCATATCCAGCTTATACACAAAAAGAGGGATGGATATTCCGGGAAGTTATTGAACAAAAATGGGAATTCAAAGTAAGCAGCTAATGCCCATCACATATGTCACTAGAATAACATAAAAAAATTAAAAGGTTAGTTCTTGAAAACTGTCATCATTTGCTCACCCCCCTTTTTTGTGTCCATACAATGTAAGTCAATGGTGACCAAAACCATTTGGTTACCAATACGGATGTTCATTTCGGTTATTTTTCCTAACCAACAACCAACGCTCGTTAACCGATTATTAACCGTTAACCGACAAGATCATTTTAAATTAGAATTGAATTAAATTAGAAAGGATAAGTGTCTGTGACCAGTTAAAAATACTAAAAAATTTTTCCCGGGGATTAATTTTACATGCGCAAAAAGCAGCTAACAACAGAACATGAGGATTCACATGGTCATCATCACATCGCAGCACTCCGCGTGCGGAGAAAAACATAATAAAGCTAGGCTATATTTATATAAATAATAATAATATAATAATATAGTAATATAATAATAATAATAATAAATAGGCCAATACGAGAAATATATTTTTACTTAAATAATAAATTAAGAAAACTAAATAAAAACTGTGCAACAAGTAGCCTAGTATGCAAAGTTTCGGTTGTGCTGCGCGCTGCGCGAAAGGAAACAGACGGCAGAAAGCGGCATCCTATTTTTCTTTAGGCTTATTTTACAAAAGCACAAAGATTTGTTTTTATTGTGAATGTACACAAATAAAGGCAAACCTTTTACAATTCCGATTAT